CGTGTGCGTGTACGCGTGATCGCGTGTGCGTGTACGCGTGATCGCGTGCACGTGCGCGTGTACGTGTGCGTGTACGTGTGCGTGTACGCGTGATCGCGTGTGCGTGTGTGCGTGATCGCGGGCGCGCTTGTGTATTACGCCCACGCTTGTGCACGCGGCGTACGTGTGTTTTATACAACGATAATTATCATGTTGAATGCCCCTCCTGTGATCCCATCGTTAGCAATGATTGGAGGAAAGAATGAGTTTACCTGACCTCATGTTTGTCATGCGTGTGACAGGTGGTCCGGTCGTTGTCACCGTCGACATCTACGTGCGTAGTATATCGTCTGTCAACGAAATCTCAATGGTAAGAGCTGACCTATTTTGTTACTATTGTTTCGCAGTAAATACGCAGAAGCACAGCACAAATACTACGCCTACTCGAACGTTCACGTATGCTCAGACAAAGAATGCTCACGCGCGCGCATGTATACACACACACACACGCACACACACACACGCACACGCACACGCGCACGCACGCACGCACGCACACACACATCATGTTCATAAGGCTTAACAGGCGCATTTAACACATAAAAGTAGCACTAGAACATGGGGTGATAAACGGTGGCTTTGAAATAAACAAAACCATCCAGAAACACGTATAATTAAGTAGTCCCAGTTCATTGGATCGTTTCTTAGCATTTGGTATCCGTGACATCTCCTCTATGCAATAATTATTTTAACAATAGATAGTTCTATAGTAGTAGTATTTATCAGTAACTATCTTTATTAACCTTTAAAGTATGGAAAAGTAAGATGGTGTGTCTAAAATGTCGCGTCTATAATATATACATCGGGGGAAAATAAGCTCAAATTTGTGTGAATAGAGAAGTAATAGTATGGCTTCGTTCGTTATTTCCATTCTCTCGTGTATCGCAGTATACTCTTGAAAATGTGGCGGATAGCATTCGCGCTGCGCCACAGCGTCCACCGTGTCCCGATGCATGATTTAAATACGCCTACTTTACGGTGCATGCACACGCAGAACGGTTTGTGAATAAATAAACACCCGCATGCTTTTTTAAACAATTTATGGACGACGCACTCTCCATGCGCCGTGGAATTGGACGTTTATGCGTCATGGATTTGCACCGCGCACCCGGCAGTTAGATGCGATATGATATGACTACTAGGCACTTAGGATATGACTACTAGGCACTTAGGATATGACTACTAGGCACTTAAACAAAAAAAAAACCCTAACCCTAACCCTAACCTAACCTAAACCCTAAACCTAACCTAAACCCTAACCCTAACCCCCCCCAAAAAAAAAATTAAATTAAATTAAAGTGCCTAGTAGTCATATCATATCGCATCTAACTGCCGGTTGCATGCACCGCTGGCGAGTCACGTGATTCATGTCACGTGATACACGTCGAGCCAATAGCAGCTTAGCGAAACTAAACGCCGCAAAAATGATGGTAACAATTCTGAAAAAATAACAAGTGCGTTTTAGTTTTGCGGCAGTTGCATGTGTGAGTGCTGCGCATCGTAGCTTGACGGATGGATGACAGCAGAATATTTATCTAGCGCGTCCGCTCATAAAGAATAATATATATATATATATATGCTGCGTGGTTTTCATCCTTGAATGACATGCGTGTGCACTTAGTCTGTGCAGTGTCGGCCTGTGCGACGACAGCTCGCGTTAATTGTCACATCAACTTGTCTCGTGCGTCGAATTGTTTACGCAATACAATAAATTTCACTCCAGACACATTTGCGGAACGCATACACAATTTCTGGCGAGTTAATGCTCGCGGATTGGCCATTCGTGTTCAACGAAATTGAATTTCGGTTGTGGATCAGGTGGCGGCATTGTGAGCGACTCTTGGACGTAAACTAAGGAATCGTAATGAGGAGCAAAAATCGAATCATGGTTTCAAGTTCGGAAGTTTTTGCTCGCGATTGCGAACATTCTACGTTCGAATTTTGTATGAGAGTTGCGGTAATTTGTTTCATTATTATACGTATTGTATACTTCTTTTATTACATAAAAACCATACACATATTCGTGCACAGAATATAGCGCTTGTTACGCGACAAGAGAAGATTAGCGGGATAATGAATATCGTATACAATTATAGTCTGCGGTAATAAGTCTTATAACACTAAATTTAGTCTAAATTAAGTGAAAATGAAATAAGCGTCGAAATCAACATCACATGAGTATAACAAACATAAAAACGAAAACATAATTGAAGTACATCAAGATCTTCATATACCGATTCTCCGGAACATCGCATGCACTAGCATCCTCATCGCATTACATTGCAAGGTAGTTTTTTTCTCTCAAACTGCGCAAACTTTTGAGAGAAAAAAATTAGGAAAAACGTGTTTACTGCACTTTTACGTATTGCGCGTTTTTTTGCTTCTATTCTCAGCAATACGATACGGACTTGGTCGTGAGGCAGGTGTGGATAGATCCGCGGTTGGTTTTTACCCCGCCGCCGGACAGCAGCATGGATTACGTCATCGGCGGCACTTTCATGGCGAAGCGCACCTGGCAATCCGACCTGTTCTTCGCTAACTCTAAACGAGCTTACTCACACGACATCACGCAGCCGAACATGCTCATGTGGCTCTGGCCTAATGGAACCGTGATGTACAACGTCAGGTGCGCGCGTGTGTCTGCATGTCCGCTTAGGAAATGCAATAGTCCTGAAGATTTGTAATCGTAATGCTATTTTTGATATATTAGAGAGGGCGCGCGCGCGTGTGTTAGCGTTGTATGTGTGTGTGTGGAAGGGTGTATGTGCGTGTGTGTGTGTGCGTGTATGTGTATATGTGTGTGGAGGGGTGTATGTATGTGTGTGTGTGTGTGTGTGTGTGTGTGTGTGTGTGTGTGTGTGTGTGTGTGTGTGTGTGTGTGTGTGTGTG